CTGTCCAGTTTCCACATTCTCCGTTACTTTATGCACATTGTGAGTTTGACAGCTATTGGTCAAGTTCTCTTCACAGTATTTCGCCGTACCATGATGATTTTGACACTCATGTGCCTCGATTACCATGGAGCAATTACAGTTATTCCGCTGGATTTGTGTGTCACAATACTGTCATTTGATCCGACCAGCTAAATTTCCAGGCGCAAAGGGCTAGAATTGAGTATATTGTGTTTTCATATTTGTGTCTCTGTGTGTGCATGCTTACAAGGAACTCAGCATTAGTTGCATTCTTTGGACGGAGTTTGTCAGTTTCTTTCAACAATGTTGCTTACTCATTTATTCAGTATTTAAGTGCACCACGAGTTACTTTCAAGAGTGAATACAATCGGAAATACATATAAATGCCACTGTCGGCGACTCCGACAGTTGGAAACTTTTCTCGTCATAGCGATCAGTGAATTTCGCTGTACGATGATGTCTTCCGCCAAAGATATGAATAGGGATTTTAAAAATATTAGTTTGAACAATTTTTCCCCTTTTCGCTTCGTTGCATCTGTTCACGCGCATACGGTAATCTAAGTGATTTCTGTAATCCCATGATGGCAATGAGAAAACGAGTTGGCGAGCAAACAGTTGTTTTCGCATATTCCTAGTCATACTTTCACATATACTGTGGTGGAAAAATGCTTACATAATGATAGCCATTGGCTCAATCAGAGGTCATTAATTCGAGGAGGATGTGAGAGAGAGATCCAGTCCGATGTCTAGTCTTCAGAGCCCGGTAGATTTGTTCAGCAGACATACTGGCTGAAGAACTACGTACCTTTCATCCGCCAAACACTGCTGGACAATGGTTATCTGGTAAAGTTCATTGATAAGAATATTCGGTTCACTTTGGAGAAGAAAAACCCCATCTGCGTCCCCAAGAAAGAACTATCTGTAGGATCTCATTTTAATGAAATGCACTCCCTATTCTTTGCTTCATATTAATTACCTCTTAATTCAGTGTGTAAGCATTTTTCCACTACATGATATGTAAGAGCATGGCTAGGAATATCCGAAAACAATTGTTCGCTCTGCGACGCGTTTCCTCATTTTTATAGTCTGTGAAATAGTAAACTTAAGACAAATTCAAATTCAAATTCAAATTTTTATTATGGGATATAACTTACAAAGACTTCGCTTTTTCAAATCCCATAGGGTGTTTACACTTTGGTTCGGAACACGAATCACAATGTCACACACAGTACATTCATGAAATTACAGTAGTAAGGTAATGTTTTTGACGTGCACAGGAGAATATATTATGTAGTTGGGTATTGAAAAGCAATGATTGCCAGTGCATCATCAAGCTGACGCTTGAAAGATACTAATGTCGGGGCACAGACCACGTGAGGGGGTAGAGAGTTCCATGTGCTGCACACTCTGACTGCAAACGAGTGACGTCTGCAGTCAAGACGGCTCT